GGGAGGAGAGTCAGCTGAAGACTTGCTGCAAGCTTGTTACCTCTAACTCTTGCAGGAACTGACCCACAAACCATCCATGAACCACCATTTTCCTAGTTTGTGCCCCTCTCTAATCTACAGATATCATTATGGGCTGATACATCATTCGAATTGTCAAAAGTAGTTTTCTGGAAAAAGATCAGTGCAACCAAGGCATAGTTCTTGGTAAGACTCCTCTAAGTGAATTTGCTTTTAAACCTGATAATAGCCCTATTCAGACATTTTAAGTATAAGTGCTACATGCAAAAATGGCAATGGAGAAAAATGTGCATCATTTCCTTCCTTCACAACTTGCCAACATCTCCTCCATAAGTAAGAAGATGATATGATGAGGAAAGGCTCATTTCTACCAAATTTTAACATATTGCTTTTCCAGGATTCTAAAAGCCAGACAAGGGTCTCCATGGAAAGGGGAGACTATCCTCTTCTGATTGTCATTCTACAGGTGTAGAAATGATGAAAACAAGTAAAGAAAGGGTGGAGCTTATGTGTTTATCTCTGTTTTTCCCTACATATAGAATTTGCATACAAGGAAAACACTTAAACAGTGTTTTTATAATTATTTTCAAACAACTATAATTTCAAACTACAAATTTTATCTCCACACTTCATGGGAAATCCTGGAGCTGTCATTCCAGTTGAGGATCACAGACACGTGCAAGTCTCTGTAAAAGCGAGTGTGATGTAGTGGATAATGTTCTGGACTAGGATTTATGAGACTTGGTCCAAAGTAGAGATGAGCCAGTTTGTTGACCACCGCAACAGGTTTTTGGTACCCCATCCCCTCTGGTGGGTACCAAGTCAGAAGCAGCATCCTAGTTTCCCTATTCCACCTCCTCCGGGCACTGTTTTTGGGTGGGTGCCTGCTGGAGGGGGTGCTGGTGGTGGTAAATGAACCAGCATGAACTGCCAAACCAGTGGTTCATGCCCATTTCTAGTCCAAATCCATGCTCAACCATAGAAATTAAATAGATTGGGCATGGCAATGGTAAGCTACTCCTTTAATATCTCAATACAGTATCTTAAGAACCCAGTAGGTTATGGTATGCTAAAACTAATTTGATGGCACAACAACAGGGAACAGGTCAAGATGTTTTCCATTATGAGAAGTAAGTCTACCGATCCCTGCATTAATCCAGTGCAAGCCATGAATGGATATATGCATTAATGCATTTTTTTCACTAGCATCTACAATGAATGAGGAGTTTTTGAAAATATAATATAGCCAGAATAATTCAAATGTACGGTATATTGAAATGTGATTGCACCATATGAGGTTTAGGCCTGCATATTCTGATTTTTCTACATTGTTCCACAGAAAATTGTATCTAACATTACACCTCTGAGTTTGTTTCAAAGAAATGGTATACCAGCTGTGAATAATTTTTAATTGTATCAAATAAAAATTTTTTCATTCCATTTATAGCAATGTGCAATTAAGATACAATTAATTCAGCCCAAGCACTCCAACCGTATGATTACTGTCAATCTAATCTCATTTGGAGCAAGTGATATTAATTATAACCATTAATTACATGACCAAGCTGTAATACTTTTTAAAAGTTGCTAACACATTAAACTTGTTTCAGGGTGAGAACACAGATTAAAAAAAATTTAAATTGGGAATATACAAGAAATGTCAAAATGCAACTGAATTTCTCAAAAAGATTCACGAAAAGTAAAGTAAATAAAACTTAAGCAACAATGTTGAGGCTTAGTGTGTGTGTGTGTGTGTGTGTGTGTGTTGACTTTCCATTTGTATGTTATTTGCCTTCAAGTCACATCTGACATACTGTACAGTGATCCCAATATGATTTTTAAAATTTGTGATGTGTCCAAGGGATGGCTTACTGTTGCCACCCCACTAAAGCTAAGCAGCAGATTTCAACCCAGTTCTTCTGAGGCCTAGTTCAACACTCTACTCACTTACACGACATTTCCCATAAGATTGGAAAAGGTTACTTTGTTGACTTCTTTATCCAGAATCTCCCAGTCACCAACTGAACATGCTGGCTGGGAAGTCTGGGAATTGCAGTCTAAAAAAGTAGCTATGCTCTGAAAACATGTTGCATTCAGTGACACAGCTATGCCATTTTAGATTCTGGATTTAATGGTCCTATAAAAAGACACTTTAAATGTGGTTGCATTAATGGGGAAACTTGATTTTAAAGGGCAGGTGTTCTAGGATGTGATTATTCCTTTTAGTTATCAGAGTATAAGACAAACAAAACAACAGCACAAATATGGAGATATCTGCCCAGTCTTATCAAACACACTCCCTGGTTTACACACAAACTAACATTCTCTATGACAAAACATTCTAGAAGCATTTAAAATAGAAAAAATGTACCTTTACTTACAGATACCATCTGTAGTTATGGTCAGAAAAAAGGGGGGTAATTGAGTTTCCACAATGCAGGATACCCTGCATGCTTGCTGCTTGAAGGATGGTCAGAGGAAGAAAAGGGGCTATCAACAAAACAATAGAAGCAAAAACAAACTAGAGAGTACAGGGGCCTGCCTCAATTGTCAGAGGCAGGAAAAGAACATAAATAACGAATCAAGTTAGTTGCAAAGGATAATCACATTAAGCTGTAAAGCCCCCCCCATACCCAGTGTTAGTGCATGCAACTTTGCCATTATCCCCACTTACACCAGAATCCGCCACCTCCACAGATAATATATTATCTGCAGCTGGATGCAGCTAGATTTAATGCTTGATAGGGGTAGAAATATTCACATATCTCATGCTCTCCAGTAAGAAAACCAAACAAACAAAATGTCAATGGGTTTCTCCCACTAGGTGAAATTAGGAGAATCTGTGTACATTTTTCACAGTTCAAGACTTTTTTTATATTTGCAAAAAAAAAATAAAAATCATACGTGTTAAAAAAATGAAAATTTATGTAAAAATACAAGGCTTCTTAAGGCACAGTACAAGAGGGTTGACAAAAAAAAAATAACATATTTCTGCAAAATGCAACAGCTTTTGGTAATGTTGTTGATGATGAAAAAGGTCATCCTGGTCTTTTCACTTTTGTGCAGTAACCAAAATTCTTATAGCAGTTGGCAATGTTTTTCACCAAGGGTGAGAAAAAAGAGGTTATTTTTAATCATTTAGACCTTTATTGTACATAATGAAGTTTCTACAAAGAAATGGAGCAGTAGCTATGAGGAAAAAAGGGAAGGAGTATACTTAGGTATAAGCAGCTTTGATTAAAATAACACTGTTAGGAGGGAACTACAGTTAGGAGTAAAACAAGGAAATTAAGTTAACTCTGTGAACATGTACAAGGGACGTGGTGGCGCTGCGGGTTAAACCGCAGAAGCCTCTGTGCTGTAAGGTCTGTAGATCTTCAACTGTAAGATTGAATCCACGCGACGGAGTGAGCGCCTGTCGCTTGTCCCAGCTCCCGCCAACCTAGCGATTCGAAAGCATGCAAATACGAGTAGATAAATAGGGACCACCTCCGTGGGAAGGTAACAGCGTTCCGTGTCTAACTCACACTGGCCATGTGCCCACGGAAGATTGTCTTCAGACAAAACGTGGGCTCTATGGCTTGGAAACGGGGATGAGCCCCGCCCCCTAGAGTCGAACACGACTGGACAAATTGTCAAGGGGAACCTTTACCTTTACCTGTGAACATGTAACACTAGTAAAAGTATTGCCACTACTAGACTTGTATCTGTAAACTCTAAATTTGAAGGTTTTGCAGTCAGATTGCCAATCTAGGATGTTGTCTCAGCTGTTCACTTAGAAGTAGCACTGTGCAGTTATCAGATGCAGTGAAGAGGAACGAGACAACTAAGAAGCCACAGGACAAGAAAATGTTGAATATTCATTGCATCCTTAAAGTGTATTTATTGAGAATGAAGTCCAACTGTGTTCAGTAGAGATCATTCCAAAGTACGGATTGGTAAGAACTTTGTTTCATTCCAATTTTGATCAAAATGTATCAAAATCTGCAACACTTGAATGGGTGTCTGGTAGGTACGTAGTAGGATAGACTTTTGCAGTCCGAGATCATGAAGGAGGGTTAGAATGAAATGGATGTCACACTGTGCTTTGCAGTGAGAGTGAGCTACGAGAAGCCAAGGTGGGCACTCCTTCTCAGACCAGGGGCTACCTATGCCAGAATGTTGCCCTGGAGGCACAGAATAGAGATCTGCTCTTCATAGAAAGAAGGTTCACAAATGAAAGGGGTCCTCAGAAGCCTCCCCATTACACAGAAATCTGTACCCTAAATGGTACAATATAGTTAGGTTGCTAGAGCTCAGAGTACTTCTCTGAGGTGGGAAGGTAAATCTCAAGGTAAGAGACACTGGAGGAAGAGTTTCTTTTTGTGAGAGAGAGTGAGAGTGAGGGAGAGGTAGCTTCAAAACTTGGATATGCATCTCCGCCTGTTTACAGTTGGTACCAAGGCATATTGGCTGAGGGCAAAGTATCTGTACAGTTGTTGGACTGCACAACACAGTCTTGCTGAAAAATCAGAACCAAGAGGAGAAGACTAGGAAGAAATCTGATATGTGCCTGCACTTGGCCCAGTCATGCTGTTTAGAGCACTGCAATGAATGAAGCATGTCTGTTACAACTAATTACCTTTTTCTGGTAATTAGTTGTGCAAACTATCACCAGTACACTGTTGTTTATGAAACACACAGAGAATAACCCATTCTCTGCTGTTTACATGCTGCTTGTGCAAGGGGGAATCCACTAGCCCCTTGCAGAAGTGGAAATCCCCCTTGATTTTAATGAGGTGGTTGTCAGCTTTTGTAACTGCAAGAGGAAGATATTACAGGGACAAAAGCAGAGTAACCTGGCCTTTCAGGCCTTGTGCTTTTCATTTGGCAACAGGATCCTGGCAATTATTTTATCTCTGTTACATAGGAGATCAGCTCTATGACATCACAAACAGCCCATCTTTCTGACATCACAAAGGCCTCTCCTTCTCTTCATATTATGACTCTGAAGTCTCACAACAGAGACAACTACTGACTTGGAAATACTAAATGTAATACTGGTAGAAAGGGGTCATTCCTGGACTTTGGGTTTGCCACAATTGTACCCTTCCAAATTATGTAAAAGAACACCAGCTCAGGACAGAGATTGGGAGGAGGTAATAGAAGGGGAGGGGAACCCATGCAGAAATTGTTCACATCCCCAAGGTTTGGATTTGGCAGCTATTTGGCCTCACCTTCATCTTCCACCGTTGCCATTTTTCAGAGACAGTGGCCCATCTTCCCTTCCATGGTCTCTAAAGCTGGTGGTGGAGGAGGACAAAGAAGATGAGGTACCAGGACCAGGCAGGGAGGAGACTGGGGCAGCGGAAAGGGGGCAGAACATCCATTTTGCCAAAACCAAAGTGTCAAGTTGAAAAAAGTTTGGCCGTACATTTTGGCAAAAAAAGGATCCCTGAACTGAACTACAAACTGAACCAGAAACCATCCTGGCTCAGGGTGTTTTTGTTTTTGTTTTGTTTGTTTGTTCATTTTTGTTTGTGATTTGATTTATGTCCATCTCTATTCCATTTTACTGACTTTTACTGCAGAAGCCACAAGTTGCTTGATCTGATGAATTTTGCTAGAAAGAACAAAGATAGATCTGGGTATCTGCAGTTCTACATATTGTACAACTTTTCTTTACATCCTGCACTACATGTTTGGTAGAAATAAGTGCATGGACATGAATAGTTTGTGAATGTTTCATAAACCATTTCATTAATACATGGTTTCCAAATGTTTTGCTTGTTTCTCATTTTTAAGGAAGCTTTTGAGTATCAGAGAACTGACAAGTTTCAGGACAACACTGATTGACATGAGGTGTGAAGTTATATATGGGAGAAACAAGCTGTGGAAATGATGGCTGTCCCTTGGGAGCAAAAGAGACAGGAACAGCCTGTCTACTGCCTGCCTGCCAATAAATATTATGAGAATGTGTTCTAGGGTTTATTTTGTCCATTGCTGTCTGAGGTAGTGATTACACAGCCATTCTTTATTAAGTGAGGCCCAGATCTGAGACCTAAAGATCAGTAATAGCAGATGACAATATAGGGATGCAATTGGGCTGAAGAGACCACATTGGATTTTTTTTTCCAGCCATACTGAGCACTAGAAAAAGGAGGTGATCAGGAAGGCGCTAGGCTTAAGAGAAGAATAATTGCAGCTGAAGAGGGTTGCAAACAAAATTGGAAGGATTTAGGGATCTAGATGGGTCATTCAGACTTCAAGAAACAGATTTTGTATCCGCTGGCACTAGGAAACATAGGATGTGAATTGTTTTGCATGCTTCCTGCAGCAAAGGTAGCTTACTCACTATTGTACAAAGTCATGGCAACATCCAAACCTCAGTCTTTACTGTAAGATCTCTGTGCTGCTCCCATCTCATTTCAGTAAGATAAGCTGGAGTGGGTAGCAGACAGACAGCATGTTTTATAGTGGAAATGTCACTAACCTCATCTTACTTCCAGTGGCATAAAGCAGTGGTTCCCAACCTTGGGTCCCCAGATATTCTTGGACTACAACTCCCAGATATCCTGGCGAGCACAGCTAGTGGGGAAGGTTTCTGGGAGTTTTAGTCTAAGAACATCTGGGGACCCAAGGTTGGAAACCACTGGTTTAAGGTGTTCCTGTCAACCAAATTTAAAATGGGGGTCAAATTATAATGCATAATACTCTAATATCTTAGAAGCAACATATTTGTGATTACATAAATTTTCTTAATTTGTTACCTCAAAATGACAGTCAATTACACATTTTATGAACCTCAGTTGCTGAACAAAACAGTACAGAGTATCTCCCAATATACTTTTTGAATTATTTCAGATATAGGTATGGAAATTCCTATCATGGTTGAAGTGGCATCTCTAATTATGTAATGCAGTCACCATTATAAAAAAGCTTCACATTTGATCATTTCTTTCAGCTCTAGCATCAAACAGGAAGACTTTATAAGAGTTATAAATGTATTAGTCTGACAATAAATTTGTCACTCTCATTCTCCACATCATTTGTATGGGATAATAATGAATAATTTCATTAAGAGGTTCCTTTTTGTTTAATGGACCTGACTTTCAGGTTAGTGAGTGAAGGACTGCAGCCATTTTCAGAAAATTAATTCATATGATGTTCCACCTGGCAAGCCAGAAGACAATCTTTTTCCTTCCGACTTCAGAGGAATGTGAGGTTGGAGCATACCAGCCTCAGAAAAATCCCACTTAGAAAGCTTTTGCCTCCCATTGCTTTCTACTGATTTCTGAAGGTCAGCATGGGGAAGCAAGTTTCCAGTGTGGGTAATGAACAGGATTGAAAGGGAGTTTCTGTGGTTGACATGCCAAGGTTCCCCATTTAATCACCAATTTTATACTGTTCCAAAGGCAGGGGAATTACCTATCAGTTTCAGAGAGGGATGGCCCTCCTCCAGTCTGAAGCCAACTACAACATGAATGCTAGTTTTAAAATAGAACTGCAGTATAAACACAGCAACAATCACAAATTCCAAGTATGAGAGGAAAAGAGCATTGCCTAAAAACCCTGTCACAAAGCGTGTGCCTTTCTAACACCTAGTCCTTAATGCATTTAATGACATTAACACTTCTGTCTTCTGGAGGGAATTAGATGCCTCTTAAAAGCCACCAGGATTATGACTCAAGGGTGAATCTGCTGAGATGAAAATATTTTAGCTATACTTGGCTGGTGACTTCCACCACGATTCCGTAATTTATTCCCATGCTCTCTCTCTGTGAACATGACATTTATTGACTCTCTGGAGAATGGAGATGAGTGAATTCACACCCTTGCAAATGTATTCCAAACATTCCTTCTTGAATCAAGGTTGTCACTAATTTGTGAAGAGAGAGCAATGACAGGTCACCAGGCTTATCTGTGGGGAAATTACTAGAAAAAAGTGTGGCTCATCATTCTGTGAAAGTCGCTGAAGCCAAATCCTGCCACTGAAGCACAGCTCTCATTTGTTATTCTCTTTATACTACAAGGGCTGTTATCAAAATTGACTTTCTTTCATATTCCAGAGTTTTAAAATGTTTAGAGACATTTTCCAGGGTTTTGGAGAGTATGTTTCCCTCCCATCCCCTGTTAATTAGACTTACTGAAAAAGTCTCTCTCTCTCTCTCTCTCTCTCTCTCTCTTAAATTTGGTCCACAAACAGAAAAATGGAACATTTTGCAACACTGAAAAAATATGTTCCTCAAATGTTCATTTCCTAAGATTTATAGTAACCTGAACTTATAAGTGTAGAAGAGAGATAAGTACATAGAGATTTACAGTCAGAGGTCCAAATGAATTACTCCCTGGCAATAAGGGAGAAAACCTAACTCCCATAACTAGAATCCAGTGTGAGGCTTATCCTCCCTCAGTTTGCCTGATCTGTTAAAATTGTCCAAATTCATGGACATCACAACATTATGAAATTCCATATTATAATTATGGAAGAAGTCATTCTTTTTATCTGTCCATCTCAATAGTGAGACAAAAGAGTGAACCTGAGACTCCAGCAGTAAAAAGATCATCTTTGCAACCTACCAAACAAGTGTTTGTAGCTGGGAGAGTGAAGCACCAGTGGTTAGCACCTCAGAGAGCTCATTTAAAGTTTGGAGTAAATCCTAGAGTGGGCTCACCTTTCTGCAATATTAGAGCTTCTAGCTATTGCTGGCCTTGGAGGAGGAAGACTGAATGGATTGAATCTCTGGAGCAGAGACTTAAAATTCCATGCCACCACTCTGAATGCAAACACAACTGGCTGTTCCTTTACCACTTACAGCATGGCAATCTTCAGTCTCAGCTGCATCAGGACTGCTTCAGAGGAAGGCTGAAGTTCCTCCCACAGTGATTCTGGGGAGCATTACTATTCCCCATGTTGTTGAGCAACACTGTTTTCCTCTAGCAGAAGTGTACAGAGTGGCTAAGACTGTAAATCTTTTAAGGTAAGGACAAGAAATAGCAAAAAATAAAAAATAATTATCCTTGCAAGGGGGTGAATTGTTTTTTGGGGAAAAAAACTTCACTTTTTGCAGTAATTGAGGGGAGCAAATTATTTAACTAGTTCAATTTGTACAAATCAGTCAAAGTTACCATTGCTGTGCCATCATTGTATGGACATTTGAGAGTTAGAAGCATTGAGTGGGCTGTTTGATCTTTTATTTTAAAAAATCAACTGGTCTTTCTGTGCCTTCTCTGTGTAGTTTGCTTTTTAAAAGGAAAAAAAATGCTCTTTGTACAATAGATTGCTGCTTTGAGCAAATTGCAGGAACCAAAATGAAGAAAAGTAGCACCCTTTAGTGTCTTGCTCTTGCTCTGGAGGTGAGGAATCTCTTGAAGCTTAGGAACATCTCAGCAAATAACCTCTTAGTGTTGAGATTGTCTAAACTGATCACAACAAAGAATGTAGGAAGTATTCTCTACCTTGCTAAGGCACACATAACAGTGCACATTATTTATGAGACATCTCCCACAGGTCATGTTCCTGTGGTGGGTTGGACTAGGCCCAACTATTCGTTAGACCAGAGACACATGACACATGCTTGATCTCATTCATTCACACTCCTCATACATTCATCCTTTCAATTGTATGTTTCTGCTTTTCCCTCCCTCCCTGCCCCCTTCCTCTTTTATCTTCTCTTTCTTTCAGTTCTATTCTGTCAGTCACTTTCATTTTCTAGTTAACATATTATCACTTTCTTGCTTGCTTTCTCCCTTCTACATTTTTTTCATGCTCCCATTTTCTTTCTTACTTATTTCAGTCTTTCTCCGTAGGTACCTGAATGTAGTGTTTTCTGTCTCTCTTCTCCCAGTTTCTCCTTTCTTTTCCTATCCACCTTCACTTCTCCCCTCAAATGCCACATTTAATGAAAAATTCCCCTTGTTATTAGTAGATTCATTCCTTAAGTCTAATTGCTGTGGAGGATGACTTTGTAGAGCAATAGGAGTTAATGCTCCAGATGTTTAAACAATATCTTGAGGCATTTTAAAAAGCCTGCTACACAATTTGATTTGGGGGTCACAACACCCAGAAACATTAGGTGTCCCACTGATACAGGAATGGGAGAAGTCTAATGGGGGAGAAGCTAACAGGCAGACAGAGAGAAAAGTTTTGTCAGTTGTATGCAACAGCCATTTGAGGGCCATGAGCTTTGAATTAGTGGTAAACTAGGCATGATAATTCTATAATTACAGTTCTGTTTTTTCAAATGTAACAACTAGAAGGGGAAACAGATGCTCAAAGTGTGTGGTCAGGAGGACTTTCTCTCTCTGCTGACATGACGATTTCAATAGAAAATCCAAATTGCTATTCTCTAGGAAGGAAAGCATCCGTACTATCAAAGCTTTCCTTCTAAGGCAAAAAGCAACTTCACAGTGCACACTTCATTATAACATGGCATGGAAGATTTTAAACACACACACCTGTGATTTTAAAGAATGAGATAATTGCAGTCACACAATCAACATATCCCTAGTAAATTAAACAATATTTATTGCTTAAATCTCTGTCTTGCTCTTCCCCTCTTTCTCCCAAATAAGGAAGCAAGGTAGACAGTAAACACTGCAAGATGTCTACATAAAGCAGCAGAATTAGGGCAGGAAATGGCAGCATATGTTATTTATTTATGCATCAATATTGGCTTTTTAAAGCTCCTTGGAATGAAGAGTTACATTTTCCACCACTTGAGAAAAAATAACTAAGGTAGGTGGGGATGTCATTTAGTGCTCTGCCTTAGGTAGCAAAATACCCCAATCCAGGCCCTCACATTACAAGTCTGAATACAGAGAAACTCCATTTAGTCTTTCCTTTATTCAGTGTGATCAACATGAACAGAGAGGGAAGACTAGCCTTGCCTCTTTTACATCCTTTTTCCATATGAACAAAGTCAACTGTTACCTAGGCTATACATCACAAA